ATACGACTTAATGGACCGAAACATTTCTTACCAACTTTAATAATTCTTTACAACTCTTTCATTTTTGTTCGTATTTTCTCCAAAACCTTAAATAAGATCCCCGTAAATTCAAGCTCGTTGCAGCAAGTTAGCTCATCGAAAAAGTAACAAACAACTATGAAAGTATGACCCTTCCCCCTCGTTCCTTCGTGCACAACGCAGACTTTATTCTCAAAATTTCACATTTCGCCTTTTCTGGCTCGGGAGTTATTAAAGCTTGCCAAAACTTGAATATGAAGTCGGAGAATAAAATAGTGAACTTGATACCTGATTTCAGGGCTGGCATACGTTTGAGGAATCTGCACACAACATCTTAATGTCGAGCATTTAGAATAAACACATAAACACACACACTCATGCACACACATACACACTCACGCACACGCACACACACGCACGCACACACACACATACACATACACACACCAGTTTAACGTCAAAAAAAAAACAAAAAATAAAGTAAAACTGTTCATGAAAAAAATGAACTCTGAAGCAATTCTTTTTTTTATGCTGCATCACCCATTATAACCCTTTTGTCACTTGCAGAAAAGCATTGGAAGCTCGTGTGTCTGTGTGTATGTGTGTGTGTGTGTGCACATACATATGTATAATACATACACGAGCACAGACACACGCACAATACACACATATAAACCATACACACACGAGCTTCCAGTGATTTTTTGCAAATGACAAAAGGATTATAATGATGATGCACCACAAAAAAAAAGAAGTGCTCCGGAATTCATTATTTATTTAAAGAATAATTTCACTTTATTTTTTGCTTTTTCTTTTTCTGGACGTTAAACTGGCAGTTGAGAGATCAGAGGCCAGCCACTCCTCAAAGAGCCCGTTGCAGAAAAAGCTCGAAGTGCAGCGTAAGGAAAACCGCCGAACCAGAAAGACGCCAAGATCAGTACAAAATCGAAAAGTAGAAACTCTCTCTGCAATTCGCTCTCTATAAGGAGGGGGGGCATCCGAAAGTAGACCAAGTAGTAGCAAGGCTGTTAATGGAACCGGCCAATTCTGAGGTTATTTGTAACGAAACTGATGGCAAATGTAACGCCTTGTTCATATGCCAATACCAATCTTTGAACGAAACGAATGAACAATTCGTAGATAAGCCGGTTGTTCCAGCGGTAAACCGGAATTCTCTGTCGCACGAGCAAAGAAAAATAGCGTTAGTCCGTTTCTTAACCAGAAAAGAGAACTCTGGCTCGGGCTTCGCTCAAAATCTCCGAGTTCGTTTGTGTTGCCATGCCTAGCGCCCATAATGCGCACTTAAATTAACCGCAACAACTTCAAACCAACCAACACAACACCGACAAACGCTTGAATCAAACTAGCGCCCAGCCTAAGCTGGGTCACCCCAAAAATTACCTAGGAAAACACCTAGGATTGCAAAAAACGCATAACCACACCGCCGCCTGTGGCATGCTTGTTACGTACCAGCCTGACTGGGCAGTCAACGTTGCACGCGGCAATGGATGGTTCATTGTCTACTGCAGCAGACAGCCAGAGAAAACTCTCTCGCCTACAATCCCCATCGGCCTGACTCATTCTCGTCGATGTTTTTATTATAATTTCATATGAAGTAGTCGAATATATTAAATTGAAATGCGAAATAATGCATCACGATATTGTTAGTGCTATGTTAATTTTATTGTGCCAACATATTTCACAAGCATTGCCCATTCGTGACTTATGCTACTACTCCACATGTCGCCAGGACTCAAAGAAGTTTCAGAGAATCGAAATCTATGAATAAAAGCTAAAGAAAGCAGATAAAAGTTGGAAAGGAAACGCACAACCAAAAACCAAAAGACCAATACAAAAGTTTATATG